TCCTTTTCCAATTTTTCTTCTACCTCTCTTATTTGACTTTTAAAATCCTTCTTGAGCTCTTTTTGGGCTTGAGACCAGTTCATATGCCCCTTTGAGGTGTCAGATGTGGGTATATTGTCTGAATTCGTGTTTTGATCTTCCCTGTCCCCATAGTTAGAATCTATGGTCTTTCTTGTTCTATGTTGCTTCTTACTCATGGTGTTTGCCTTTTTCCTGGCTTCTAAAGTTGACGTCTGCTTCTGGGGAACAGGGGGCACTGTTCCACACTTCTTGTGCTGGGAGTTAGAGGCCTGGTTACTGGCTTTGTGTGCTGGGGCCTCAGGTTCTGGCAGCTGGAGGCTGTAGAGGATGTAGCTTACCTGGTGCTGAGCTGGAGCTGGTGGTGGTGGCTGGTGTGTGCCAAGGCCCGGGTGGGTTTTTCTGTGTTTCCCTGGGATTACACGGAAGTTCATGGGGTGGAGTATGGGGGTGGAGGTCACCTCCTCACTCAGGGCTTCACTAGAGCACAGGTAGGCTCAGGTGTTTGTGGATGCCCCTTTGCCTTGGTTCTCTGAGTTGGTGTCTGCCGGTTCCCCTGGCTGTGCCAACCCATGTGGGTCATAGTGTTGGCACTCGCCTGATCCACCTCCCTGGGGCTCAGGATCTCCTGCTGGTTTGCTGAGGTGGGGCATGCTGCTGGCCTACCAGAATGCCTCCATCTTGTACTGGTCTCCTTCAGCCACAGCAAGACAGACCTTTCTGATTACTCCCCCTAGCCTCATGAGCTAAAAAACTGCTGTACTCTTCTTTCTGCAGGCTCCATTGTTCCAGAATTTTTCTTCTGATCTTTTAATGTAGAAGCTGCAAGATCCTGTGCAATCCTGACTGTGGTTCCACCATATCTGAATTGTTTCTTTCTGGACGCTTGCAGTATTTTCTCCCTGACCTGATAGTTCTGGAATTCAGCTATAATATTCCTTGGCACAATGAACATAGCAGAGAAGCAATCATTTGCTCCTCATTCCTATTAAAAGTTGAAGGAAACATGTTTTGGGTATGGCAACCATAAAGATTAAATGGCTGTTGCTTTGCTAACTTAACATTAATCTGAAAAGTCATTTCTCTTGGTGCCCCTATGACTGGTTATTTCTGCTTTTGTGCAGGATAGCTATGGCAAAGAAACAAGCTCTCTCACTCAGCCCCAACTTTAGCTTGGATAACTAACAGTCAGTCAACAAGCATTTAATTACACTATTGCTATGTGCTAAGCACAACAAAGAATGGTAAAAACAAACAAACAACAACAATAACAAAAACCCCATAGTCCCTATCCCTCAAATAGGTCATATTCTACTGGGTGCAAAGTTGTTGTATATCATAGTTGAAACAGATGGTCTGTAAATAATAAATGCATTCCTCACAATTAGGCTCAATGGACCTAGTATTATTGTGTCACTGGGAAAAAGAAAGAGAAAGAATGGGGTAGAGTAGGACCAGGGAAATGTGTAGTTGCAGAAGGAGATGGAGATAAAGAGGTTAAAAAGAAAAATGGTAGGAGGGGGAGATTTTTAAAAAGAGCCTGGATGCCCACTCATCAGGCTATTGTAGAGATGTTACTGTTTGCATATTCCTTGGATTATAATAATAGAATCACGGGTCTTACATCTGGAAAAGACCTCAAGAAATTAGCTAGTCTAACCCTGCCTTAAAGCAGGCATTATTCTCATTTTACCAGTGAAGTAACTGAAGCAAACAAAGGGTAAGACATCTGCTCAAGGCAGAAGAGCTAGTAAATGACAGAGTGTTCATGCACAAACTTCTAGACAGGAAAGAAATTCTGTGATCTTTAGCTGTCTTATGTCTTTACTTAGAAGAAATGAGCACCACTGAAGGGCTCTAGATGGACCCAGAATTTGCTCACCAATCACACGAATATGTATCTCTTTATTCATTCAATTAACACTGAAACATTTATTCAATGTGTAAGATTGTATGTATGTCGGCTGTATAATACAGAGATGGTTTGGTCAAGAGAGACATAAATAGATATCTACTCTGGGATCTGGCCCCATCTTTATGGGAGACTGCAATTTCTTCTTTTGTGAGGAGAATGAGGACCATGCCTGCCCCCCGAGTTATCTAGTAAGGGAGGGACTGGCAAGACTGAGGACCTCTGTGGGTGGGTGGTCTCTCCCACACTTTCCTCTCCAAGAATGGTATTAGGTTGGAATTATATTAATCTACCATAATAAAATAAATATCTGTAGATTAGGGTACAACAGGTTTCAAATTGAAGCACTTTACTTGATCCCTCTCAAAGGGAAAGTATCACTTAGATTACTATTACCAGCTTAGGTCCCTCCCACCCAATGATGGTTACACAAAAGAAAAGATGACCATGTATAGTGAGTACTTCTCTTCATCAGCTTAAATACAAAAATAGAAATCAGGGAAGTTTTAGATTAGACCAAAACAGACACAAAATTAAAATAATTCTTTGGCTGGAAATGAGAGATCTCAGGTCAAAGAAGAAAAGAGATCACACCAAGGAAAATCTTTTCTAAGCACTTTCTAGTGTTTTAGGCACTGGGAATCAAGAGGAATGATGGAGGCAGCTTCTTCATGTCTGTGGCTCCCAGATTTCCAACCTGCCCTTTAAAAGTCCAAACTTGCCTTTTGCCACAGTCTAGCCAGACTTCCTTCTCTTGAATGCTTCTAAAGTGTGTACCAGTTTACTGAGTGCCCTGATTCACAATAATTCCTCAGACAATCAGCAGTCACAATCCTTTCAGTGTCCCATTAGCACTTAGTATTAGAGGGCTGCTCCTCAGGAACCCCAGGCTTGGACAGATGTGATGTTACAAACACTCAAGAGTACTGTGCTGGGTGCTGAGTTAGGTAGAAAGACAAAATTACATAGTCCCCGCCCTCAAAGAGCTTGTATTATAGATGAAAATTTAGTATTTTGTTTTTGTAAAAAGTTTTTTCCAACAACATCTATTGTTCATCTGATCTTCACAACTTTGTGAGGGAAGAGGTGCAAGTATAGACCTATGAACTCCCTTCCACCTCTAGGATTCTGAGATTCTAAGTTTCAAGATCCTATGAAATAAATCTGGTGAGACTATAGGTGATGAGCATGGAAAACAGAGATGAAAGGAGAATGGGGGAGAATAGAATCAAAGAAAAGGAAAGGAGGACAGGGAGAAAACTGAAGATCATGTACCTCCCTTGCTCAGAAGAAGCCTCCAGTGGCTATTATTGCATCAAGGTTCATCTCCAGTCATCCTGATCTATATCTTGCTACTGGACCCAGATGCCTCCTGAGAAGATGAGGTTGGTAACTTCACACAGTTCTCCCTCACTTAAATCCAATTCACTACAATGTCATGGTATTATCTCCCTGATGTCATGGTCATCTTCCAGAAGGAAGGACAAACAGCATTACTTCCAGGATCAAATACAAATTCCTCTGTCTGGAATTTTTGCCTTTCTAGCTTTATTTCAAATAATTTTCTTACAGCTGCTCTATTCACATATTGGTCTTCTAGCTGTTCTCCCAAATTCAGCATTCTATCTCATGTTTCTGTGCATCTGCCCCATGCCTGAAATATAGTTGGTCCTCATTTTTGCTTCTCAGCTTCTCTAGCCTTAAAGTTCAGTTCAGCTGCCACTTCCTAGGTAAGACCTTTCGCAATGCCTTTCCCAGTTTTTAGTGCTCCCTCCTCCCTCAATTTATTTTGCATTTATTTATCCGAGTATGTGTGTTATCTCCCTAGCAGAATATAGTCTTGAAGGAACTCTTGGTTTTGTCTTTGTAACCCGTGTTACCTGCACAACTCTTGCATTTTATTGTGTTTCTAGTGCTTAGCACAGTGCCTTACACTTCACTTAATACTTATCAACTTAAAAGACTAATGTTTACTACAATTTTGGGGGGCAGCTAGGTAGTACAATGTGCCGGGTCTGTAGTCAAGAACACCTGAGGTCAAATACAGCCTCAGAGACTTGCTAGCTGTGTGACCCTGGGCAAGTCACTTAACCCTGTTTGCCTCAGTTTCTTCACATGTAAAATGAGCTTCAGAAAAGGCAAACTCCTCCAGTACCTTTGCCAAAGAAAATCCCTAATGGGATCACTTATAGTAGGACACGACTCTAACGACTCAACCACCTTTTACTGGAGTGAAACAAGGCTGGGTAAGAAGTGAGAGAGGATAGAAGAACAGAACTGAGAAGAATGGAAGTGGACTAGAGCTACGAAAAACACCGTTTCATCTGTAAAATGAGGTCTCCGGGGTGCGACCAGTTGTCAAATCCACTCCATCTCTAATCCAGTGAATTCATAAAGTGAATCCCACTCTACAGAGAGAGAAAAACAGAGGTTCAAAGAGACCTCCCCTACCCCGACTCCTCACCCCACCACTGAGGCAAAAACACAGGAAGAGCGCGGAAAATTGAACCCAACCCCCAGTCCAATATACGCCTCTACAAGACTGAACCGAAGGAAGGAGGAGGGAGGGTGAAGAAGGAGGAGGGAGGGTGAAGAAGGAGCCACGTCCCCATGCCCTCTACCCCTAGGCCAAGGATAGCACTAGCTTCGACCAGAGCAGGGTGGGGCGTGGTGCGCCGTTCAGCCCGCCTGGGCGAAGGCGGGACTTCCGGTCCTCCTGCTGGATCGACTTCCGGTAGGGGCCGGAAGCTCCGATCTGCGGCGGTCTCAGGGACAGCCGGACGCCCGGGACAGGAAGGTGAGATCCGGGATCTTCCCGGGGAATCCAGGATGTCCGGTCCCTTCAGCTCCGGGTGCGGAGCCTCCGCCCGACCTTCCCTCCGCCGGGCGCGGCACGGCGCGGGGCTCCCGGGGAGGGCGTGGCGCTGTCCCAAGGAGCCGGCGGCCCCGTGCCGTAGCCGGGGTTGGCTGCTGGGCTCCGGAAGGAAGACGGAGAGCGAGATAGCGAGCGGTCCCGGGAATGCGGCGGGAGGCTCCGGGGTGTGGCCGGGCGGGGGCGGGGCCGGTGGCTTGGAGGGTCCACATGATTGAGGGCTTGGTCACGCTTCTGTTAATCACCTCCAGCCCGTACCCCGTGTGCCTGGACCCGGGGGCAGCTTGTGGGGTTTAGTCCTGAGTGATGCTGTGCGTGTTTGCCTGCCTCGTTTGGTCTGGGCAGAGCAGTAACTGGGAGAAGTTTAGGGAAAACGAGGGCTATTACTTTATTTTGAGATCAGTTCGGAAGAGGATTTCGGTTCTTTTGTGGTCGCCTCCTGTGAAATGCCAAAACACCCCAAGTATTCTGAGTTAACTGACTCTGTAACTCTTGCCGTGGGAAAAGGAAGGATGGGAGCTCTGTAAGTGTTTTAAGAGTTACAGTGTTTAACTTTAGGTTTCCTGGAGTTGGTTTGAGTTGTATGAACTTTTTTCAGGAGAACATTTAAAGCCCTAGATCTGTGCCAAAAAGGAAATATTTGAACAACTAAAAGAGGTGAAACGCTCCTCAGGAGGCTGGCTTGATTCCAGTTTTCAACTAGAGGTACATATTTGAACTATATTTAAAAAAATAAAAAGGACCATTACACTGTTAAACAGGATGTCATTTTGTTTATAACTATGGGACTGTCAGCCAGTTAAACATAAAAGCAGTGAATATTCAACATGCTGGTACTAGACAGATTATTTTTTGCTTAGCAATTTATGTGACTTTTAAATTTCTTAATGGTTTTTGAAAGCTAAGTGCAAAACATGAATTTTATAAATCTTAAAACTTAAAGCGCTCCATTTTGAAACCAGTAAGGTTAATAGAATTATTGTGATCTCTATAGCACTGAAAATAAATGTATTCTTTCATTTTAAGGCACAGAGCATGGAGAATGATGAACTTCCGCCAGAGGATGGGATGGATTGGAGTGGGGCTGTATCTGTTAGCAAGTGCAGCTGCAATTTACTATGTTTTTGAAATCAATGAAACTTACAACAGACTAGCACTGGAACACATTCAGCAACATCCAAAAGAGCCACAAGAAGGAACCACATGGACACATTCCTTGAAAGCTCGACTACTTTCTCTGCCTTTTTGGCTATGGACAATTATTTTTCTAATCCCATACTTACAGATGTTTTTGTTCCTTTATTCTTGCACAAGAGCTGACCCCAAAACTGTGGGCTATTGTATCATTCCTATATGCCTGGCAATTATTTGCAATCGCCACCAAACTTTTGTCAAAGCTTCTAATCAGATCAGCAGATTACAACTGATTGACACATAAAATGAACACTTTTCTTAACTAATTATAAAACTGCAAGTCCTGTATCGAGTTTAATCACAAGACTGGGGCTTTCAAGTTTACAGAGGAAGTTGTGGTTGGGCTGAGCCTTTCTTTTTTGCAATGTGATGAGAGGCAGTTTTTTAATAATGAATTTTTAGATAGACAATGGTATACAGTGCTACAATCATGCTGACTTCAACTAAGGATGTTATTCAGATTTTCTTTGGAAGCAAGATCATGTCATTCAACCTAGAGCTTCTAGAGCACATACATCTGGACTCTGATTTTGTTTTATTATGCAAGGAAATAATGATTCAGAAATCTTTCCTTTTGGCAAAAATGAGTATATATGGACACTTCCTTTGTATTAAATGTAAAAAGTTCCTAACATGATTATAAAATTTAAATTTTGCATAAGTATTTGGTTTCCTTCTCTTTAAATTTTATAAACTTTACAAAGATTTATCTTTTTGTATATAGGTAAACTGTTCTATCTGCTTTCTAGGAACTTATGAAGAATGGTTCATATAGTATTGAGCTGTTTTGATTTATGTAGAATTTGTTCTATCTGTAAGAAAGGTAACTAGGATTCTATTAATTACTGATGGCTCTTAATCACTTTTTTGAAAGAATAGCTGAAAAAAGTTTTAAATTCTGGAAGTTGTAGAGAAAGTATAGGAATTTTTCTCCTTCAGTTCCAAGGTCAGAATTTAATCTCTAACTCAATGAAGAAAGATGTCTTCTGGAAATCCAACAGAAGTAGTGAGTCATTAAGTTATCAGGCCACAATCTTTGTATCTCCTTTGATCCTGTACTGAAGCTGTTACTTAAATAGCTAATGTTTTCATATTTAATAACTATCACGATTTTTTGGTATTACTATCTTAGGTCATTAACAGCAGGACAAAATTTTACACTGATGTATTTAAAATCCTGAATACTTCAGCGGTAGAAGTGTACAGCTATACCAGGAGCTAAGAATGGAAACTGTAGTGGATCTTTCCTAATCTTGAGTAAGTTGTTGAAAGATGGAAAAATTACTTAGGTCAACATCAAATATGCACAGAATAAAGTGCTGGATCTGTTTAGAGAGCTCGCTTTGTCAAGCTTTCATTTGAAAGACTGGACAGGCATTCTGCCTCAAGCACAGTACCAAAAGTTAAGACACTTTAATGTTTATTCACCAAGTTGTAATCTGCAGGTTGACTATGGCAGGAGGATCAAGTAGATCACTGGAATATTGGCACTTGCTGATTGGTTTGCAGACCTCTAGTCCATTAATTTGTTTGACTTCTAACTGCCAAAAAAGTTGCAGTTTTCAGTTCTTAAGATAGGTGGTTTTGTAGAAAGATAGCTTTAATGTGCTGAAGAGATCTGCTGATAAAAATCTTGTCACAAGGTAGAAACTTTTGAAGAACAAAATTTCGGCAGTTAGCTGGGCCTTAAGAGATTAGTCCTATGATTTGGAGCAGTGATGTTTGTGGTACTAATTTCATAAAATGACTTCAGTCATGTTTAAGCACTATAGTGCTTTTCTTTGTGGTAGGCAGTACTTAAAAAAAAAGTATAACATAATCTAAGCCCTCAAGAAACTGACAGTCTAGTTGGAGATAAAAAGTTACACATGTGAAACATTTATGGCACTATATATATTCAAGAACATACCAATGGTACAAAAAAGTACTATGGGAATTCAGGAAGGGGAGGGCCCTAATTACTGTCTAGAAGATAATTCTTTGGTTTTAAACATATATAGCCACACCCCTCATTACTGTTTATAAACCATGACCAAGTCACTTATGATTATACCATGGGTCCTAACATGGAATGAGCGAATACCTAATTTTTTGAATGTGTAAAACTCTTTTTAAAAACTCTTTTAGCTGCTATCACATAAAATAGCTTCAACAAGCCCAAATCATGTCTCTGTAGTTAATAACTACATTTTTCTGATTCAAGAGCCTTTGCCATATGGACCTGAATCTTGAATTTAGAGCTTAGGTTTTAATTGCACGACTTTAAAAGTTTAGAACATTTTGTTTTTGAGGGATCATCTAAGAATGATATCACCCAATGAAATAGCTCGTTTTTTAGTGTCTTTTATATTAAAGTTCTTCCTGGATTCCTTCTTGTGCCCCTTACCATTTATTCTCAAGCTCTAAAACGGGATGTAGTAGAAAGGTTGTATTTAGATTGAAAGGACTGGGGATTGAATCCTAGCTCTGCTGTTTATGAGTTTTCCATTAATTCTAGTGGCTTCTTGTCTTGTCCTTCATAATCTGCCTTAACTATAGTCACATCCATACCAGATAAGTATAAAACTGGGGCAACATTCTTAAGATTTCTGGCTCTGTTTCTGTAGAGAAAACTGTTGGACAAAAACTAATGTCTCATTAGTAAAAAGGATTGGATTAGATCTCTAAGGCTTCTTCTACATCTAATCTATGATTCTAAAAATCTGCAAATAGTTTATTCTTGCATCCAGAAGACCAAGTAATCAGCTCTTCAGTTTGTACTTTTTTTTTAAATTTGTGCATTCTTTTAGACATTGTATAGCAGATTTTAATTCTGGATCATGGTTCTGAATAGTTTGAGTTACTTCCATATACTTAATGCTTTAAAAACAAAACAGGAGGTCTGAGTGTATATTGTCTTTGGAAAACCTTGTGCAAAGTTCTCCTGGTAGTTTGCTTCATCATTTTATTATCACTAAACAACCTATTTGTCCATGCTAAGGGACAGCAGGAGCCTTGGAAGGCAATTTTAAAAATTAAGTAGTCTAACCTGGCCTAGCATAAACTCATTTATCTTAGATAAATAAGAGAGAGGTTTTTTTGTAAGACTATTTCAGCAGATGTTGATCATTAAATCTAGGTCAGGTCAACATCAAAGAGAAAGATTTCGTGAGTTATCCTGATTCTCTTAGATCTTAGCTTTCTGAAATTCCTATTATCGATGTGCAAAATAACTAATGTTCAATGTAAACCCTGGGTTTGTTTTCAGTTTAGAGTTTAGGAGTCACTTAAATGCTTGACACTATGTCTATACATCAAACCTGCCAAACTTTGAAATAGGGAAATCAGAGTGAATTGAAGTTTCTAGTTCTGATACTCATGGAGTCTAAAGTGATGATTAGGGACCTTAAGATACTCGTTTCAGGTTAGAAACATGCTTCCTCCTGCAACCTCTGAATAGTGTTCCACTTTCTAGCAAATCTTTGGCTTTGGAGAGCACTTCTATTTAAAGCTATGATCCCAAAAGGTTTTGTTGCTGCCCCAATGTGACCCAGTACTTTTACTAAAGATTTAAATAGAAACTTGCAGTATACCATTCACTGTTTCCTGGGCCATATCTAGAGGCAGTTTTGACCCTAAAGATCAGCCGAGTGCTAGAATAATGTTTCAAAGAAATTACAGCCTTAGCAAGTTGTGTACACTGTACAAGCCCTTCATTATTAAGACTGGGGCACACTGGTTCTTTGATACTTTGAATCTGTGACCTCATCAGTATGGGTACTTACAGATCACAACCTACTATGCTATCCTGAATAACTTCTGTGTTGTTCTGTCCTTCATGGAAGGGTCACCCAATATTCTACGGGCCTCAGTCTAGTTTTTTTGACATTGCATGGATACTAATGTAGCAGAAGAACTATGCATTAGTTTTCTCTCACTCTCCCTGTGTCCAGCTCATTTTTTTCCTGGTTATACATTTCTCTGTTGATATCCTTTATGCCTCTTGCACAATTCTTTGTAATGTGTTGCAACGTATTCATTGCTATTCTACTGCTGTATAACCTCTCCATTATTCTTTGGATGACTTGCAAATTTAATTCTTTAGAGAATTTTCATTTATAATTAATTTATTAAAAAGTGCAGTTTCCCTCTCCTGTTCAACTCTGGGCCACACTCATTCTCCATGTGCATTGTTTCTCCAAGATATATACTGGTGAACCAATTCTATAGGTTGTCCAATCAACTTTGTATGTCATATTCTGAACAACAGACATTCTTCATCCATTTAGTTTTTACTATGTGGATAGTCAAGGCCAAACTCCTAAATAATTATGGACTTCAGTATTCTGGGGATTTGATGTAATCAGCACAATGATGTCCAGAAAGAGGAGCGTTTGGAGGACATCACTGTTTCTGGGAAATTCCTCTAAGGAGTCCATTTGGACTCAGTGGTGGATATTTCTATACCTTTGACAAGCATATAATTATGTTTTATTCCTTGCTCTTAATAGTAAAAATCAGTCATCAGCAGTTACCCATGTTACCTTTCTTAAGAAATTTTGCATGATTTTAACATAAGCATGGGAGAAACCTTTTTGAAGAGCCTTTAAGGTAGTGATGTTCTCTACCAAATCAAACACTTTATTTTATAGTCGATGAACACTGGGATTATATGTTCTCCATATCTTTCAGTCAGTTGTGTGACTATAATAATGTGGGCTGCCAGTTCCCTTCTCAAATCTAATAAATAGCTAGCATTTATGTAGAACTAAGGTTTTCAAAGCACTTTACAAATATCTCATTAGATCTTCATAACTCTGGGAGGTAGGTGCTATTTTCATTTTACAAATGAGGAAACTGAGGAACAGAGAGGCTAAGTGAATTGCCTAGGGTCGTATCTGAGGCTGGATTTGAACTCTGGTCTTCTAGAGTCCAAGTCCAGTCCTCTATCTGCTGTGTCACCTAGTTGCCCCAGTGCTCTTGATGTGTGCATAGATTATTCTCATAAAAACTTTGCAGAGATGGTAAAGTAGACCTATGGGTTGGTAATGATTGATATTATCAATTGTCTTTTGGGGGTAATAATAAGTTACAAGATTTTTCTAAATCTTTTGTATCCTCTCCATATATTGTGAGAATTGATCACGTCCAGCACAAAAATATTTTGTTTATGTTTGCTCTACAAGGGGTGGGGAACCTGTGACCCTCTAGATCCTCAAGTGTAGCCTTTGACTGAATCCAAACTTCACAGAACAAATCCCCTTAATAAAAGGATGTGTTCTGTAAAACTTGGACTCAGTCAAAAGGCTGCACCCGAGGACCTAGAAGGCCACATATGGCTTGGAGGCTGCAGGTTCCCCTTTCCTGCACTAGACCGTCTTACTCTTCCATATTTGTTTTCTTCAGTGCCATTTCCACTTCCTCATATAGGGTATTTAGGACTGTGATATTTGATTCTAAACAATAGCTACCCTGACATTGATCATGCAGAAAGTTTGTTACAAAAAAAAACCTTCACACATCTTCATTTCTTATACTTGAGGAAGGAGAAGGAAGAGGAATAAACATTTTCATAATGCCTACTATGTCCCACCCACTGTGTTAAGTATTTAACAAAACATCTCATTTGATCCTCACATGCTGTCATCCCCATTTCATAGTTGAGGAAACTGAAGCAAACCAGTT